CATCACATGTGCAGGTACACTGGTACAGTACATGTGAGTTAAATTCTTGTGTGTGAGCTTCACAAGCAACAGAGGTGTGCAAAAATACAATAACATAAGAACAAGCAAATTATAAGGATGAGTAAATCTGAGAGTTATATGAATAAATATATGTACAATATAAGAGTGTAGTCTGAAAGTTGTCTGGACAGTTTATGGCTGGGGTGACTGGAGTCTTTTATGATCCTCCCCGCTTTCCTCAGGCACCGCTTCCTGTAGATGTGCTGGAGGGGGGGAAGCTCACCTTCAACTTCACATTAAAACATGTTTTTATTTCCGAACCTTATAATTAAACTGTTAATGACTAAATGAACAGACTGTTTGCTGTGTTTTGAAACATGACGTGTTTACTGCAGTTTTACTGGTGGAAATAAACCTTCTTCACATTAGTTTAGTAAGTAAATGGACTGGTTCTTATATAATGCTTTTCTACTCTTCTGAGCACTCAAAGCGCTTTACACAACTTGTGCATTCACCCAAGCACTTTCAAACTAACATTCACACACACATTCGTACTCCGATGAGAGCAATATGGGGTTAGTATCTTGCCCAAGGATATTTGGCATGCAGACTAGGCGAAGCCAGGAATCGAACCACCAACCTTCCGATCCGATGACCTGCTCTACCACCTGAGCTACAGACACAGTTTTACTATGACCCTTTTTACTTCTGTTACCTAAAGTAGCAATGGACAATTTTTTAACCTGTCACTATGAATAAGATGTAATGGTTATAGATGAATAAGAAAGACAAGTTCATTAAGTTCATCAGTACTGTGCAAAAGTCTTTAGTCGCCCCTTGTTTCTTTATATTTTACCTTCAATGAGTCAGACTTTCATTCATTTTTTAAGTGCTCTTGAGCAATAGTTTTCTGAAAGGCTTTCAGAGTTTTTATTTGTGATGCTGAATGGTGAATCATTCAAGCATTACAAATGCAGCCAACACAACCAGTGTTGTGTCTACACGTAGCAGACAACTCTCTGCCTTTGTTACTAGCAGCCTGTCACAAAAACATATCATTTGTTCCTGTTTCTTTAGCTGAATCAGCAGAAACATGCCAAAGATAACCCATAATTTTTATTTTTGCATCAACAAGGTGATTTCCAAAGAACTATTAGCTCAAAACCTGGAATATCTCAGCATGTTGTGCAGCGTGTCCCTATATATATTGAGGAAACTGGACAAGTGGAGGTGAAAAGAAGACGTGACAGGTCTAAACAATATCTACCACAGGTGAAGAGTATCTGACAGTAAGAATAAAAAAAATGCAGCAAAGACCCGACACAGGGCCTGAGAGAGACATTTGACTCTCAGTTGATCCATCTACTCTTCACTGAGGCCTCATGGTCTCAGTGGACAGTAGACGGCTGTCAAAAAGCCATCATTAAGAAAGGAACGGGGGGGGGGGAAAAGTCTCACCTCTCCAGAGCCCAGACCTCAACAATACTTAAGCGGTGTGGGATCATCTTGACAGAGAACAGAACAAAAGGCAGCCTATGGAGATCTATTCCTGAAGACTACTTAAAGAAAATACTTCAGGCTGTATTGAAGAATAAAGGTGAAGATACCAAATATTGATTTTCAAGATTTTTAGAACTGTACAATCTTTGTTTTACCTTATATAGTATATTTGGTTGGTGTTTGCACATTTTAATAGACGACTGCACCAGCTCCCATTCTCCCAAAATATAAAGAAATCTGGGGTGAATCATGACTTTTGAGCAGTACAGTACTTGTGATGAATTTAGGAATAAAGAGCAGTTTGAGAGAATAGAAATAGAGGACTGTTATGACTAAAACTGGGGGATTACTCCTCAAGAAATTGCACTTATGCAGTGCATACCCAAACCCGAAGGAAATAACTTATGACACAAAATTCAGTTTTAACACTGGACAGGGACAACTTGAGTATTCAAGAATAAGGGATCATTATAACATCCACAAGTGAAAACAACAAATCATGCTCTTAAATCGGAGGACCACACTAAAGACAGTAGCATAACCTCAATTTTACCAGACGCACACAAACTCCAGCAGCCCATGTTTACTGTATTCCTGCTTGATTCAGTCCAGTTTCTTTAAATGTTCATCACTAATGCATAATATCAAGTAGGACAGGTCCTAAAGCCCATGTGAATATATTTCGCTGTTTCTCTGACTAACAGTGAGAAAACACAATTGAAGTTTGGTTAGGTAAATATTCACATCAGAGACGCTTGACCAGACTGGCTGAATTATTTTGCTTGAAGTTGATTAATCATCACAAACTCAGGAGACCTGGTTATGCTTCTGTGCGTCAGGGGAAATACTGAAAGTCACATATACTGGGGGTTAAAGGGAGTCCAACAACTATATTTTTCATTCAAAGATAACCTGCTGCTAGCTTCATATTTACTCTTCTCAGAGAAGATAGAAATATCTCCCAAAATAATGACCTATTTCTTTTATCAGCCTAAAGCAGTACTCTGACTAACTCTGTGTTCTACATTCATTAAAGTGTGTGATTATCGGATTCCATATTTCCTTATATGCAATCAGTCCTCCTGGGATCTTGAGGATCCCACGCAGTATCTTTGCTTTTCCTGGGACTGCGCTCTTCTGGCATGCTTTGTAACCATGTTCTGATGGCTGCTTTCAGCAGGATAACACGTTAAGCCATGATGAGAAATTCACATCATGGGTTTGCAAATGTGCAGTAACTGTGTGATGCTACCATGTCAATATGAACCAAAATCTCTGAGGAATGTTAAAGCTGTGCCACGGAGAATTAAAGCAGTAATGAAGGCAAAAGGGGATCGAAGCCAGTACTAGCAAGATGTACTTAATATAGCAGTCAGTAAATTACACAAATATCAATTTAAAAAAAACAGCAGGCCAACCAATAACTTAAATTAATATAATAAAGTAAGAAATTTGCATTTTATTAAACAGCACTGACTGCATAGCCACCTGCTGGTCAGCAATTTAAATTCTACAGGTTTCTGCCAGGTTTAGGTGCTGTCAATAAATCAAAATAAATTTGAATCTATAAACAAAGAATGGTAAATGGCCTGCATTTGTATAGCGCCTTTCTAGTCCCTAAGGACCCCAAAGCGCTTCACACTACATTCAGTCATTCACACACAGTGGCGATGGCAAGCTACATTGTAGCCACAGCTGCCCTGGGGCGCACTGACAGAGGCGAGGCTGCTGGACACTGGCGCCACCGGGCCCTCTGACCACCACCAGTAGGCAAACATGGGGTTAGTATCTTGCCCAAGATACAGCCAGGAGGCAGCCTGGGATCGAACCACCGACCTTCTGATTAGTGGCTGACCTGCTCTGCCACCTGAGCTACAGCCACGAGAAGAATCATTTCAAATGCTTCATATCGACTTAAAAAACACAACTAAATTAAGTATTAAGTATTTTGTGATAACAGATTGGATTCAACCAGCGGACACATGGGCACAATCTGGCATCAAGAGTGCTGCCGTGAAAGCATATTGATCCCCGAAGAGGAAAAGCCGCAATATTTAATAAAGAAAAAGAAAAAAAAAAAAGAAAACAGCCACACAAACACAGCCCAAGGCAAGCAGCAGAATATATTACCATACAATATTAGTGCGGTTACATTAACATATATTACCACATCCCACTAATGTGGATTAGTAGACATGAAATATGAAAGTCTGAGCATTTTCACAAAAGTTAAGCAACTTATTTTTTGTGAAAAAGGGGAAATAGGTGCTCGTTTTTATTCAGTCAAGTACAAAATGTATTAATTGGGGTTTCTTCCTTTTTGCCTGTGGCCACAACAAAGCAAAAATAAACCTTTATTGCAGGAATCATCAAAGGAAAACTGCAAAATGCACGCTTAGTTTGAACAGTTTGCTCAAATCCCAAATGCAAATGAGCACGCGTCAGTTTGCTGAAATGTTTCCTCCCAGAAAAAAAAGTGAATTAATAATTCATTGTTATATCAGCGCTTCATTAAATATTGCTGTCCTGGTAAAGAAGATGGCACTTAGAATCTAAAGCCCCCCCTGTGGTTTGTGATTTTGGACTGTATGAATTCATTTTGCATTCTGTGAGCTGAATCGTCTGACAAAGATCTGCGTCACTACGTCTGCCAAAGCGACTGCTGGAACCTCTGCAGCCATTGTCAGCTTCTCCTCCTGGGCTACCTGTGAGAGCCCAGGGTTTTTTGTTTTTTTTGTTTTTTGACATGTGCCAGGATAGGAATTCAACATTTACAACAGAAAGGGCTGAATGTGATGAAAAGCGTCTTGGAGGTGCTGACACTATATAATGCATTTAACATGACTTCTTTATTTTATTGTAGCCGTTTAGCCATTTCCTGATTGAATCGAGTTGAAGGCAAAGGATCAATTCATTTATTATTGGGACGATAAAAGAAAAGAATTCACCTTTAGAAAACCGTAAGCACAGGACAGCAAACTGGTTACACACTTTTTGCTGACTGAAAGAAAAATTCAGTGTTAAAACACAGTTTTAGTTGATGTCAGTTTAAGTGAGAAAACAAATAATAGACTCTCCTCTGCGCATACACTTTTAGAACGTGGTTTATTTTATTTTTCACAGACTGCAGGCTCACTATACAGTACACGTCAGTCCTTTAAGAGGTGCCTCAGGACTGATGAACATGGCATTTTTAAAATTAAATCATGGTAGCAAACACGAGCAAAACCACTGAAAATTAAAAATACAATCAAAATCCCCCAGACCCCCCCCCCTCCTCCTAATGTCCCCAACTGGATTTCCACTCGAGGACGTGTCTCCCTCTCGTCCCGGTTATTTCTTGTTTGTCTTTAACAATCACGACAAGGAGAAACGCGAGCTGGACAGCAAGACTGGGACAAATTCAAAGTTTAGTTGTCACAGTGAAACAAACACCACTCCGCGCCTTTCTGCGAAAAAGGCAAAAAAAAAAAAAAAAAAAAAAGCGCACACGGTGTGAATCTGCGATGCAACCCATCCAAAAACTTAGACTGGGACCGATGCGAAAGCGTTTTACGCACGCGTAATGAAGACATCTACAGGTGGACCACAAAGCGTCGTCTTGTTTATCACGAGGCTACAGTTAACGAGTATACGGGAGGACTTTAGAGGCTGATAAACCCTTACGGTCTATGATGGACAGCGTGTACTCCGCATTGTCTATAATCTGGAGAGGCGTAGCTCCCTGGGTTTCTGCCTGTGTCAAGGAGCGCGTGGCGCAACCTTTCGTGGATGACGGAGTGGAGGCTTTCCAAAACAATCCGCTCAGCATCTTCCTGATCTCCGGCCTCATCAGGCAGTAAAGCACCGGGTTTAAGCAGCTGTTTGCGTGCGCCAAGCACACGGTGACCGGGAACACGTAGGTGTGTACCATGTAATACGACGTGTCCCAGTTTGCTGCGTTAAATTTGACCAACACGCCCCAGAAGGTGATGGCATGATTTGGCATCCAGCAGCAGAAGAAAGACAAAACTACTATAGCGACAGATTTGGTGACTCTAGATCTCCGTTTAGGGTTGCTGCTGTCCATGCTCCTCTGTCTGACGAAGCGCAGCAGCATCAGGTAGTTAACGGAGACAATGAGCATGGGGATAATGAAAGCGATCAAGATTTTCTGGATGTGATAGAGGGCGAGCCAGTCGTGTCCTTCGGGAAACTTGAGGAGACAGAGTTTTTCGCCAGCCACCACAGTCACAGTGGAGAAGACAGCTGTTGGAGCTGTGGCAACTGTCGCCGCCACCCACAGCACCGTGCACACCCACTTCACACACCGTGACCTCCTGTGCGCTTTTTTCTTTAGAGCCGAGGCGACGGCCAGGTAGCGGGTCACGCTCATGGCGGTGAGGAAAAACACGCTGGCGTACATGTTCATCACGGTGACCGAAAGGACGATCTTGCACATGGCGTCTCCGAACGGCCAGCTGAAGTCCAGCGCGGTGTCCACAGCCCAGAAGGGCAGAGTGAGAACAAACTGGAAGTCAGTCACTGCCAAGTTGATAATGAAAACATTAATAGTGGACCTCTTTCGACCTTGTCGTAACCTCATTAGAAAAAAGACGAGGAGGTTGCCCACTAAACCCACCGCGCAAACTACAGAGTACACAACCGATATGAGTATCCTCAGGATGGGGGTGCCATCCGCGCTCACGTCGATGTCTTCGAGCACTGAACTTCGGTTGAGCGCTCCGCTGTGGTTAAACATTTCCTCCATCATTAAATTTATAAAGCTTGACTCACAACATTTTCTTCTACGAGGCACCCCATGAAAAAAGCCTTAGCCTTTCATCTCCATTAGATGCAAATTCGTAGTCATAACACCTTTGAATGACAGCTGGCCAGAAACCTGCTTTTATACAGGTGTGTCGCTCCTCTGCTGAGCCACGATTGGTCGAGTGAGACGTGACAGAAATGATTACGGTCCCGGCAGCTTTTAAGGAAGAACAGGTTAAATTTCTTGTTATAGTTTATCCGCCATGAAGCAATGTATTTGTCACAAGAATCGTGCGTAAATGCGCAAAATAGGAAACGAAAATAAATGATGAAAATTACTTTTAATCCAGACAATTCAAATGATTACATCAATCAAGATGTAGATCTCTTCCTGCGTCTCTCACCCGGTACACCTGTTGATTTCTGTTCACGCGCTCCAACACGCCCCGTCTTTGCAAACACAATAAACCAAGATGAGCGTGCCTTTAAGAATGCCAACGTACTTCTTAAATGCTTTCATTATAATTAATATTAAATGAATACTATAGGTCAAAAATTATGGCCAACATGTAGAACTTTCGTAAGCTCAAGCAATAGTGTGACATTTTTCTTCCACTAGAGGGAGCGCTTACTTTGGAGAGGGATAATAACGGTCGAACATAGAGTTTGGTTACATCGTGTTCCACCTCCAAATAGGCATAATTCTTAATTGTTCCAGCTTAGCTTAAGGTGGTAAAACATTTGGGGATATAACTGATATAGATCTGGGTTTTCCAGATGTGTTTTAAAATCAGGAATCTCCCGAACTCGGTGGTGTCAGTCGCTGTTTTGTTTTTTGTTTTTTAAGACTTTACTCGGGCTTTTCCCACAGTTCCCACTGGGAAACGCTTGTTTTTTATGCTTTGAACCTCCGGTCAAAACGTACAGAGCGCGACCCCCGATGCGTAGTCATTTGTCTTACTCCAAGTGAATGCAACAGTCTGGTCCTCATCTGACCCACTGAGAACCCGAATCACCCCAAGGAACTTCCAATTGGACTGCATCTCTGTATCCGATCTCTTGGAGTAGCATTCCCCTTTAAGCCCTCCAGCTCTCTCTTGAGCCCATTGTCTTAAGTCCACCCATCTGTGGGGGTGGCTCTGCGAAAGTTTTCACAGCAAAGTTTTAAGCTGTCACTGGCTGTCGGGAGGAGGCTGATGGAGGACAGGGGGACCAGCAACTTGTAAGCAAACATTTACACCGACATAAAACAAAACACACAAAAAAAGATGCAGCAAAAGCCCCCCCGCGGAGGCAAACAATGCTCAGGCCTGAAGTGAAGAAGTTTGTTGTTGCTGTCACAGCGTAAGTGCACGGGTGCAACAAAGCGAGAAACGCACCCAGCACAGATGGATTTGACCTATTTGAATTGACAGTCGACGCGGTGTCAGAAAGGCGTTAAATGTTTCGAAAATATAAGTTACCGTCCTGACAAAATGACCCGTTTGCACTGCGGGCTTCACGCTTTCGGACAAAGAGCGTCTTCCATTCACTTCTTCATCGCGGTCCTGGTGGTCCTGGAAAACTGCAAAACTTTGGGATTGGGATTATCACATGAACCAGGTTAGTGAGCCTGAAAACTAAAGTACTTTAAACATTTTCAGATTCAAACACATCGAATGCCACAACGCTCTCGTACACTGCCTGCTTTTGTTGTGCGCATTTGCTCTGTGAGTGAATCCAGCCACACTCCTCCCTGATGAGAAGCCAGCTGGAACTTTTGCTTACAAAGTTTGGGGACAGCCATAGCAATTATGCTCAAACGTTTATAACCAAGTGCGGTAGAGAGAGCTGTTTCTGAATGAATCATCAGAGGCTGAAGCCCGGTCCGCCCTTGTTGTAGTGCCCTTAATCAAAACGCAGAATCCCAGTGCAGTGCTGCTGCTGTGTGACTGACACTGACCTCTGACTTCAGTAGTCAAGGGCAGGAAACAGAGTTTCACTTAGGGGAATAGACATGATGCATTATTGTTATTCTCTTAATACACCCAGTTTCAACAGAAAGTGTATTGGCTGTTCCAGTGCATATCATCACATCAGAGGATTAAACCCCTCATGTCTGGTAGGAAGCACCCCCTGCCTTCACGTCATGCACTTTCATCCACTCAGACTTCCCGGGTTCTCCAGAGATTAGCCAAACAAACAGATCAAGAAGTGTGGGTGCACTCTGTCTTATCCTGTACAAATCAACTGTGTGCTAGCTACTGTTTGGCATTCTAGGCAAGGATGACTCACTGAGGGAGGGACCTGTCAGATAGTGATGTTTCAGGTGTTAAATGTTTGCACAGGAATTATCGATGTCTGCCTGAAACTGTTTCCCAAATTAGAAAAGCACTTTGATAAGCAACGGGCTTCCGCTTGACAAAATGTTTAAAGACATTTTTTTTTATTCTTACCTACTTGTAAGACTAAAGAATAAAAAGTAAATTAACTGAACCTGATCAGTGTTGTTCATTTGTTTTAGCAAATCCTAGAAGACTCTTAAGGATCACTAGTTTTATCACAATCACTCCAATGAAAAAAACCTTATTTCTGAGGAATGTGATGGTTTCTGATCACCACGAATCCACAGTCCAATTCCTCAGGAGAGTAATTTGCTGGTTTGCTCATTCTAGATGAGAAAGACCTTTGTGAAGAGCTGCAGAAAATATTTGCTTAAAGAATATCGTCTTAAGGTCACAAGAAAATCTAAAAATCTTTTTGCTTCCTTAACAAAGGTAGGAATGGATATGCAGTCACTGCTTTCATGAAGAATGCCTTCCATGCCTTTGTTGTGCATTGTTAAGGCTACAAGAAGATATTTATATTTTCTTTTGACCTTAAGTAGAAGATAAGATATTTTTTAAGAAAGGTTTTTTTTTTTTCTCCAGAGATTTCTTGCCATCAGTAATACACATAAATGAAAACCAGTCAAGCCCATTGCTTTAGGCAGCCATGTCTTTACACTAATTCAAATCAATCCAAGACTATTTGGCATTTGTTGCTGGTCAGACGTTCATAAATAAAAGCAAAAGTGCGAATCAAAGAAGTGCATAGCTGTAATACTCAGGCATGTGGTAAAGTGAGAAGTCGATAAAATAATCGTACGGTATTAAAGTGCCAATGGAAAGGTGAAAACTCCTCATTCAGTCAGACATTTCAAATATTTGTCCAAATCATCTATAAGTGCTGTATGCTTGAAAATATTTGTGCAGATAATCCTGTGCAGCGCAGACACGGTAAGAGCTCGAGTCAGCAAGGCTGTGTATAATCACTCCTTCATTTCCCTTGAATGAGATAAAGCCAATAATGATAGTGTGAGGGTTTGCACCTTTGTACTTTGAGTGCACAGAATAAGTGAAAGAATGTGAAACAGATAGTAGCTGTGATTTATTTTTTTTGACAGTGGTAATAATTATTATTTAATGTGTACAGTGTCCATCACATGGATAAAAACATCAATATTTCACAGTGTTGTTATCATTAAAATTCTTATCACTGGAAAAAAGTTATAATTGATTTATGACTTAGCTTTAGTGCAAATATACCATTAAAATTATTTTAATATTCAGCTTTTTAAACTCTTCTCATGCATTTTACACACGTCGGGTGAAAAAGAAGGTTTCAGGGGACTCTGTGCACTGTGTGAATAACTAAGTAGTGCTGCTTCTATAGGATTTAAGAGGGCAAGTAGCAGCCAAGCTATGCTAATCAAATGAAGCTGATTAATTGGTCATCAGCAAACATGAATACCTCTATAAAAGCAAAAGTTTTAGCAGTTTGCTAAATTCTCTCCAGGAGTGGACATCCTGACAAAGTCAAACAAAAATCAGACCTTGCAGGCGC